TTAAGGATCTTGAAAGGTCCAGCACTCTTTGCATGCAATTCCTTAACTGTTCCTGGAGGGAACCGTTCCGGACGAATCCGCACCATAACAAAATCACCAACCTCAAAAGTCTTAAATCGACGTTTTAAATCTGCCTGTAATTTGTATTCCTGATTATTCTTTTCGATTTGTTGTGCAATATCTTTATGAGATTCATGCATATGAAATGAAAATAAAGATGCAGACCCAAAATTTCTATACCTAGAACGCATGGATATAAGGTCTAGTGGCGGTCTAGGTGTGAACCCGTCAACAAGTTTAGAAGGAGCTAAGCCAAGGGTACAAGTCACGGAATCATGGTAGTCGAGTCCAACTAGGATATGATCAGATAGGGAGGCTCCAGGGGCTAGACCTAGAACATAAGAAATGCCTCTAATCGGGGGTAACGAATCAGGACGACCATCAGGATGGATCTCAACAAATCTACTAGGTATGAGTTGCCTCTCATGAGGGACAGGTTCGTCAGACTCAGTGGGAGTCTCAGGATCGACTAAGGTGTGAAAAGGGGCAGTCGGGGCTACAGTGGTTATCAAGTTCAGTCCCTTATTGGTTTTGAGAGGGCTGGATTCAGGCTCATCCGAAACCCGGGGCTGTAATGGCACCAGCTTGATCTTTTTGCCCTTATGTTCAAACACGCAGTTGTTTGAACGACCATAGATGTGGACATCGTTGTCAAAAAGCCAGAGACGACCGAGAAGGATTTGTCCAACATTCATGATCAACACATCACACCAAACATTCTCCTTATAATCAGCGAAGGAGATGGGTATGACGCTTCGTTCCTTTACCTCCAAGGCAGTGGTGTTGACCCAAGCTACCTTATAAGAGTTGGGGTGGGGAACGGCAAACAAACCAAGCTTAGACACCATGCTGGAGGAGACAGCATTGATGCAACTGCCACTATCCACAACTACTTTACAGTTCTTATCCTTGATCTTGGTGTAGGTGTGAAAGATCGTAGTCCTACGCCAGTCGTCGGTGGTAACGGGTTGTGACAGTGCACATCTCACCACAAAGGTGGGAGAAGTGTCGATTTTTTGGATGTACTGGATGACAGCAGTATTGTCATCCTCCTCAAAGAATTCACCGTCGCTGTCTACTTGGTGAATCTGATCGGCTTCGAGCTCAAATTCCTCTTTAGTGTTCTCTTCGATAATCGTGACTTTATAGGGACTAGAGCACTGAGAGGCGATATGTTCGTACCCCTGACATCTAAAGCATTTGGTCCCTGGGTTAGATCGAGGAGTATCCGGAGTGGGAGGCTTACTTCTAACATCAGGACGGGGAGTAGGGGGACCAGACGAGGTCGGGTGTTGCTCCCTGGGGTCGGCTGGGTAGTGGGGGTGTGAGGGGTGGAACTACCAGAAGGTCTGTAGGAAGGCCTAGAGTCATGTGAACGGATCGGGTGCTGTGAACGGGTCTCCTCTAAGTCAAGCACTAGGCTGTAGGCATTCTCCAAGGTAGTGACGTTCCGGGCAAACAGCTCATTGCGAAGATCCTCTCGCAACCCGATTCGAAACATAGATAAGATTTGCGCGGGGGTGGTAGAGGTCTCCCCTTTGCATCGAATCAGGTAGTCGTCAAAGGAGGCGATGTACTCCTTAACTGGTTTATTGCCTTGAGTCAGCCTATTCCACCTATCCAATAGTCGAGGGAAGTACGAGGGTGGCAAGTACTTTTGTTTGAGTTCCCGCTTCATGGATAGCCAGTCTACAATAGGGTACTCATTCCGATCTTCTCTAAGACTCTCTAAGTTTGCCCAAAACTGACATGCCCTACCCGTTAGTTTCATAGCTGCAAAACTAACCTTCCTAGCCTCAGATATGGCATACCACTTAAAGAAATTGTCCATACCTTTGACCCAGTCCAGGAATAGCTGGGGATCGAGGGTGCCATCAAAAGTAGGAGCGTCAACCTTAATGTTCTTCATTAGTGGTGCATCGGGATCATGGACTTGGTAGGTAGTACGATGATTGGCACGGTGATGCCTCTCATCCAAATCAAGATCATGACGTGGATCATGTCCATGGTAGGGAGCTCGATGATTGGCCCGATGTGGCCTCTCATCCGGGTAGGTCTCTTCCCCATACATAGACGGTGGTCTAGATGGGGTGTAGGGAATAGGGTGGTCTCTAGCTCGTTCAAGTGTATCAAATCTCTTGGTGGTGTTCCTACGAAGCTCAGCTAGATCCGATTGGTTCTCCTTAAGCTGTTGGCTAATATTGTTCATTTGGCCTACCAATAGATCTAAAGTCCTCCCTGGTTGTTGCGGGTTCATTCCTAAACACAATGGGGTACTGAGAAGGTTTTCTAGGAAGTGGCCAGCAATCTACAGCAGGGAAAAACACTCTAAGAGGACTCTAAATGGTGCTGGAAACTCAAGGACAGCAAACTACAAGGATGGCCTAAGCAACCTAGACAACTAGTGAAGTGGCTAGGTTAAGGACAACACTTGAACAATTGATAAATGAGCTTAACCACCTCTAAATGCATGCAGGAAAAAAGTGGACAGCAAGCATAAAATGTAATTAAACTAATTT